TGTGGTTTGCTGCCTCCATTCCCATCACCTATATTTGGCATTTCTCCCTATGTTATCCCTCGCCAACTTCCTACCCCTCACTGTCCCTCCCCTAGTCCCCCACTGACAGACCTCAGTGTGTGATGCTCCCCTCCCTGTGTCCATGCTCCCCTCCCTGTGTCCATATATACCCAGTAATTGGATTGCTGGGTCAAATGGAATTTCTATTTCTAGGTCCTTGAGGAATCGCCACACTGCCTTCCACAATGGTTGAACTAATTTACATTCCCACCAACAGTGTAAAAGCGTTCCTATTTCTCCACATCCTCTCCAGCATCTGTTGTCTCCAGATTTTTTAATGATCGCCATTCTAACTAGCATGAGATGGTATCTCAGTGTAGTTTTGATTTGCATTTCTTTAATGAACAGTGCACGTTTCTTGGCCTCATAGATGTCTTCTTTTGAAAAGTGGCTGTTCATATCCTTCACTCACTTTTGAATGGGTTTGTTTTTTTCTTGTAAATCTGTTTTAGTTCTTTGTAGATTTCGGATAGAAGTCCTTTGTCAGATGGGTAGAGTGCAAAAATTTTTTCCCTTTCTGTTGGTTGCCGGTTCACTCTAATGATTGTTTCTTTTGCTGTGCAGAAGCTGTGGAGATTAATTAGATCCCATTTGTCTATTTTGGCTTTCGTTGCCAATGCTTTGGGCGTTCTAGTCATGAAGTCCTTGCCTATGCCTATGTTCTGAATGGTTTTGCCTAGGTTTTCTTCTGAGGTTTTTATGGTGTTAGGTCTTATGTTTAAGTCTTTAATCCATCTGGAGTTAATTTTAGTGTAAGGTGTCAGGAAGGGGTTCAGTTTCTGCTTTCTGCACATGGCTAGCCAGTTTTCCCAACACCATTTATTAAACAGGCAATCCTTTCCCCATTGCTTGTTTTTGTCTGGTTTGTCAAAGATCAGATGGTTGTAGGTGTGTGGCTTTGCCTCCGAGGGCTCTGTTCTGTTCCATTGGTCTATATCTATGTTTTGGTACCAGTACCATGCTGTTTTGATTATTGTAGCCTTGTAGCATAGTTTAAAGTCTGGTAATGTGATGCCTCCCGCTTTGTTCTTTTTACTTAGAATTGACTTGGCCGTGAGGGCTCTCTTTTGGTTCCATATGAAGTTTAAGGTGTGTTTTTTTCTAGTTCTTTGAAGAAGGTCATTGGTAGCTTGATGGGGATAGCGTTGAATCTGTAAATTACTTTGGGCAGTATGGCCATTTTCACGATATTGATTCTTCCTAACCATAAACATGGAATGTTTCTCCATCTGTCTGTGTCCTCTCTTATTTCGTTGAGCAGTGGCTTATAATTCTGGAAGAGATCCTTTACATTCCTTGTTAGTTGTATTTCTGGGTATTTTATTCTCTTTGTAGCAATTGTGAATGGCAGTTCGTTCTTGATTTAGCTCTCTTTAAGTATGTTATTAGTGTATAGGAATGCTTGTAATTTTTGCACATGATTTTGTATCCTGGGACTTTGCTGAAGTTGCTTATCAGTTTCAGGAGATTTTGGGCTGAGACAATGGGGTCTTCTAGATATATAATCATGTCATCTGCAAATAGAGACAATTTGACTTCCTCCTTTCCTATTTGAATACCCTTTATTTCTTTTTCTTGCCTGATTGCTCTGGCTAGAACTTCCAGTACTATATTGAATAGGAGAAGTGAGAGAGGGCATCCTTGTCTACTGCCAGATTTCAAAGGGAATGCTTCCAGTTTTTGCCTATTCAGTATGATACTGGCTGTGGGTTTATTGTAAATAGCTTTTATTATTTTGAGATATGTTCCGTCGATACGTAGGTTATTGAGAGTTTTTAGAATAAAGCGCTGTTGAATTTTGTCGAAGGCCTTCTCTGCATCTTTTGAGATAATCATGTGGTTTTTGTCTTTGATTCTGTTTATGTGGTGAATTACATTTATAGACTTGCATATGTTGAACCAGCCTTGCATCCCGGGGATGAATCCTGCTTGATCATGGTGGATAAGCTTTTTGGTGTGGTGTTGCAATTGGTTTGCCAGTATTTTATTGAAGATTTTTGCATCTATGTTCATCATGGATATTGGCCTGAAGTTTTCTTTTCTTGCTGAGTCTCTGCTGGGTTTTGGTATCGGGATGAAGTTGGTCTCATAAAGTGATTTGGGAAGGATTCCCTCTTTTTGCATTGTTTGGAATTGTTTCGGAAGGAATTGTACCAGCTCCTCTTTGTATGTCTGATAGAATTCGGCTGTGAACCCATCTGGACCTGGGCTTTTTTTGGGTGGTAGGCTCTTAATTGCTGCCTCAACTTCAGACCTTGTTATGGGTCTATTCAGGGCTTCAACTTCTTCCTGGTTTAGGCTTGGGAGGAGGCAAGTGTCCAGGAATTTATCCATTTCTTCCAGGTTTACTAGTTTATGTGCATAGAGTTGTTTGTAATAATCTCTGATGATGGTTTCAATTTCTGTGGAATCTCTGGTGATATTCCCTTTATTGTTTTTTATTGCATCCATTTGATTATTCTCTCTTTTCTTTTTTATTAATCTGGCTAGTGGCCTGTTTTGTTGATCTTTTTGAAAAACCAACTCCTGGATTTATTGATTTTTTGAAGGGTGTTTTGTGTCTCTATCTCCTTCAGTTATGCTATAATCTTAGTTATTTCATGTCTTCTGTAGGTTTTGAGTTTTTTTCATCTTGCTCCTCTAGCTCAGTTTTGACGATAGGGTGTCAGTTTTAGATCTCGCCTTGCTTCTCATGTGGGCATTTATTGCTATATATTTTCCTCTAGAGACTGCTTTAAATGTGTCCCAGAGATTCTGGTACATTGTGTCTTCGTTCTCTTTGGTTTTGAAGAACATCTTTATTTCTGCCTTCATTTCATTGTTTATCCAGTCAACATTCAAGAGCAAGTTGTTCAGTTTCCATGAAGCTTTGTGGCTCTGAGTTAGTTTCTGAATCCTGAGTTCTAACTTGATTGCACTGTGGTCTGAGAGACTGTTTGTTATGATTTCCATTCTTTTGCATTTGCTGAGGAGTGATTTACTTCCAATTATGTGGTCAATTTTAGAGTAGGTGCAATGTGGTGCTGAGAAGAATGTATATTCTGTGGATTTGGGGTGGCGAGTTCTGTAAATGTCTATTAGGTTTGCTTGTTCCAGGTCTGAGTTCAAGTCCTGGATATCCTTGTTAATTTTCTGTCTGGTTGATCTGTCTAATATTGACAATGGGGTGTTAAAGTCTCCCACTATTATTGTGTGGTAGGCTAAGTCTCTTTGTAAGTCATTAAGAACTTGCCTTATGTATCTGGGTGCTCCTGTATTGGGTGCGTATTTATTTAGGATCGTTAGCTCTTCTTGTTGCATTGATCCTTTTACTATTATGTAATGTCCTTCTTTGTCTCTTTTGATCTTTGTTGGTTTAAAGTCTATTTTATCAGAGACGAGAATTCTAACTCTTGCTTTTTTTTGCTCTCCATTTGCTTGGTAAATCTTCCTCCATCCCTTTATTTTGAGCCTATGTGTATCCTTGCATGTGAGATGGGTTTCCTGGATACAGCACACCGATGGGGCCCCCCTTTTTTCAGTTGAATGGGCGACTCTGTCTCCCAGGCATTCCAGTCTCCAGTTGAAAGGGCGCCTGGATTTGTGTGAGTTTTTGTGCGGAACCCGCTGCTCCGGCTGAAACAGCCGCTCTGGAGACTCGTGGCACTTTTCCACCCAGGAATCTCATGGTCTGTGGTCAGTAAAAGTTTGTTTGGAAATGTGGTGATCACTCACCCTCTGCATTGTTGCTGGGAACTGCAATCCAGAGCTGTTCCTATTCAGCTGTCTTCTAATCTAATCCATCTTGAATTAATTTTTATATGTGATGAAACATAGGGATCCAGTTTCATTCTTCTGCATATGGCTAGCCAACTATCTCAGCACCATTTATAAATAAGCACCTGTTGCTTATTTTTGTTCTTTGTCAAAGATCAGATGACTGTAGGTATGTGACTTTATTTTTGGGTTCTCTGTTTTGATCTGTTGGTCTCTGTGTTTGTTTTTATGTCAGCACCATGCTGTGTTAGTTATTTTAGTCTTACAGTATAGTTTGAAGTCAAGTTATGTGATGCCCCCAGATTTGTTCTTTTTGCTTAGGATTGCTTTGACCTTTTTGGTTACTTTTTTCTTCCATATGAATTTTAGGGTAGTTTTTTTCTAATTGTGTGAAAAATGACATTGGTAATTTAACAGGAATAGTATTGAGTCTATAGATTGCTTTGGCTAGTATAATCATTTTAGTGATATTGATTCTTTCAATCCATGAGCACAAAATGTGAAAAAGAAAAGAGTTTATGGCTTTTAGTTGGCAGTATTTAAAAAAAAAGAAAGAAAGAAAAAAGAAGCAACGTAAAAACCCTCTAAGGCCAGTTACAAAATAATTCAATACTATTGCAGTGAAATGTATGTCAGCTACATATATGTATTATATGTAACTTGGAAAGATATCCATAATGTAATATTAAACTAAAAAACAAGTGGTAAACAATATGTATAGTATAATGACATTTTAGCATGTATGCATGCTTTCCTAGTAAGCATGCACCTACTAAAATTTTATGTTTCCTCCACTCATTTAAAAATGTACATTTAAAACTTTATTTATTGCATGTAGCCTTTTAATCATTCTGTTGACTTCAATATAGAAAAACATTCTCCTGTCTTTGGGGTAAGAGGTCTGCATCAAGGAAGTTGGCAGTATTAGAAGGGAGAAACTGAACCATGCAAAATAAGACGAAAGCAACAGGATTTTTTTAAAAAACAATTTTAAGGCAAAGAAGTTAAGAAAGAAAAGGTTAAAGTGATATGCTTAGAGGAACAAGTTAAAAGTGGAATAGGCATTAACAAATAAAAGGTAGGCAGAGATTTTAGTCACGAGGTTCATTTGGAAAAATGCAAAAAGACAGCAACATTTCCTAACTTCTTCTTTGCTATCTTCTCCTCAGTGTTCTCCTTAACAGTGTACAACTCCCAAGATTCAGAGCTGAGTTGACCCTTTACTGGCTGGAGCCAGATGCCAGGTGAGTCCTGTGTGGCTGCCAGATACACTATTTGCCGTTGGGGGCACTTCTTGTCACCTGTAGAAGGGTGGGGAACTGGGGACAATTAGATATAGTTAAATGAGGGTGACATTTGCTGAAAATTAGAGCTTAAAATCCCAGTATTACTGTGGAACACATAATGGGAGAGCTGAAAGCGGTTATCCCTGCAAGGGCAGGGATAAAGGGACAAAGGAGAAAATACACAGGGACAACAAGTTAAAAAACCAAAGTAGAACAAAAATAAATAATTCTGGCCAATAACATGTTAGCCATTTCCCTGTAACTACACTAGAAAAGTGATCTCAACTCTCTTATCTCTCTCTGGAGATAATACTTGCTATCTGATAGACATTTCTTCTTTATTTTACCTTTCCTTCTGGATCATTCAGCTTTCTCTCCAAATTCTTCAGTACAGACAGCCTCTTCCCTATACTCTGAGATGCTCCTATACTCAGACCTGGATTTCTTGGGCAGGATGGTCAGGAACTACTCCAGTAACAGCAGTTCCAAGATGTGTTACTTACTGTGTATTGCTGCTCTCCATCATTGATGGTGACGAGCCTGAAGCTGGATGCATGAGGCCCAAGTAAATACCCATAGTACTCTGTCTGAAGAACCCCTGACCAGAAGCTCCCTTTCTATGTGGGCTAGATTCTTTAACTATTTGACATTTCTCTGGTTCTTCTGTAATTGGTCTGAATACATTCCTGGGTGAAACAGCTCAGAAGACTGGCTCACTGTAGCAGTAGGTGTACTTCAGGCTGATGCTAAGGCATAACGTTAGCATTATTGTTAAAGAAGATCAACCCCAAACTGGAACAGATTTACTCAGAGTGAATGGCTGTGATCAAGGCAAAGTAAAAAAAAAATTGGAAAGTAAAAAAAATTTCTGTGAAATAAGCAAAAAATGACATAAAATTAACTAAGAGACATTTTAGTTACTTCAGGAATAAAGAATAAGACACTATTCGGTTTTAGAACTATTAAATGCAGTGAAATATTCAGATGATTAAGAAAATAGGTGCAAAAAGTGATGCCCATAGCTTGGCCTGCTTATATTGCATGTCAAAGATGGGTCTATTAACATTTACAGGCATACATTGGAGATATTGCAGATTTGGTTATAGAACACTGCCAAAAAGCTAATATTCCAATAAAGTAAGTCTCACAATTTTTTTGGCTTTCCAGTGCATATAAATGTTACGTTTATGCTATATAGCAGTCTATTAAGTGTGGAGTAGCATGTCTAAAAAATGTACATACCTTAATTAAGAGATTTTTATTGCAAAACAAGGCGGGACTCTTCAGTGAGTCATAATCTTTTTGAGGCTGCAGAGTCTTGCCTTGATGGCTGCTGACTGATGGCTGATCAGGGTGATAACTGCTGAAGGCTGGGTTGGCTGTGGCAATTTCTTAAAATGTGACAACACTGAAGTTTGCTGCATCAATTGATTTTTCCATTCATGAACTATTTCTCTGTGGTATGCAATGCTGTTTAATAGCATTTTACCCAAAGAACTCTCGAAATTGGAGTAAATCCTCTCAAACTCTGCCACTGCTTTATCAATTAAGTTTATGTGCCATCCTAAATTCTTTGCTGTTATTTCAACAATTTCAGAGCATCATCAGGAGTAGATTTCATCTCAATAAACCACTTTCTTTGCTTATCCATAAGAAGCAACTTCTCATCCATTCAAATTTTATCATAAGCATGAAGCAATTCTGTCACATCTTCAGGCTACACTTCTAATCGTAGTTCTCTTGCTGTTTCTACTATATCTGCAGTTATTTCCTCCACTGAAGTCTCGACCCTCTTAAAGTCATCCATAAGGATGGTAATCAACTTCTTCCAACTCCTGTTCATGTTGATATTTTGTTCTCTTCCCATGAATCACGAATGTTCTTGATTGTATCTAGAATATGAATCCTCTCCAGGAGGTTTTCAATTTACTTTCCCCAGATCCATCAGAGAAATCACTATCTTTAGCAGCTATAACCTTACAAAATGTATTTCTTAAATAATAAGACCTGAAAGTTGAAATTACTCCTTGATCTGTGGGCTGTGGAATGGTTAGCTGCGTTAGTAGGCATGAAAACAATTTTAACCTCTTGAGGAGCTCTTCAGTGACTGGTGCATTGTCAATGAGCAGTAATATTTTGAAAGGAATTTCCATGCCACCCCCTCCCCACTGCTCCCCCCGAGCAGGTAGGTCTCAACAGTGGGCTTAAAATATTGAGTAAACCATGCCGTAAATAAATGTGCTATCATCCAGGCTTTGTTTTTCCATTTTTAGAGCACAGGAAAAGTGGATTTAGCATGATTTTTTTTGTTTGTCTGTCTGACACAGGGTCTTTCTCTGTCACCCAGGCTGGAGTGTAGTAGTGAAATATTGGCTCACTATAACCTCTGCCTCCCAGGCTCAATCAGTCCACCTACCTTAGCCTCCCTAGTAGCTGGAACCACAGGTGTGTACCACCACATCCAGCTAATTTTTGTATTTTTTTGTAGAGACAGGGTTTTTCCATGTTGCCCAGGCTGGTCTCAAACTCCTGGGCTCAGCAATCCTCCTGACTTGGCTTCCCAAAGTGCTGGGATTTCAGGCATGAGCCACCATGCCCAGCCAGCATGATTCTTAAGGTCACTAGGATTTTCAGATTAGTAAATGAGCATCGGCTTCAACTTCAAATCACCAGCTCCATTAGCTCCTATCAAGAAAGTCAGTCTGTCCTTTGAAGCCAGGCACTGACTTCTCTCTAGTTATGGAAGTCTAAGATGGTATCTTCTTCCAATATAAATCCATCTACATTAAAAATCTGTTTAGTATAGCCACCTTCATCCATTATCTTAGCTAGGTTTTCTGAATAACTTGCTGCAGTGTCTACATCAACATTTGCTGCTTTAGTTTGTACTGTTATGTTTTGGAGACAGCTTCTTTCCTTAACCCTCATGAACCAACCTCTCCTAGCTTCTGACTCTTCTTCTGCAGCTTCCTCATCTCTCTCAGCCTTCATAGAACCGAGGAGAGTTAGGGTCCTGCTCTGGATTAGGCTTTGGGTCAAAGGCATGTTGTGACTGGTTTGATCTTCTTTCCATATCACTCAGACTTTCTCCATATCAGCCATAAAGCTGTTTTACCTTCTTTTCACTCGTGTGTTCAGTGGAGTAGCTTTAACTTCCTTCAAGAACTTTTCCTTTGCATTCACAACTGACTGTTAGGTGAAAGAGGCCATTGCAGCCTGTCTCAGCTTTCAACATGTCTTCCTCACTAAGCTTAATTATTTCTAGCTTTCAACTTAAAGAGAGAGATGTGAGACTCTTCCTTTCACTTCAACACTGAGAGGCCACTGTAGGGTTATTAACTGGTTTCTTTCCAACATTGTTGTGTCTCAGGGCACAGGAAGGCCTGAGAAGAGAGAAACCGGGGAATGGGTTGGTTGGTGGAAGAGTCAGAACACACCCCACATTGATCAGTTAAATTAGGCATCTTATATGGGTGTGGTTAGTGGTGCCCCCAAACAATTGCAAATTATATCAAAGATCACTGATCACAGGTCACCATAATAGATATAATTAATTTTAAATTTTGAAATACTCAATCTCCAAAATGTGACACAGAAACATGAAGTGAGCATGTGCTGTTGGGAAAATGGTGTTGACAGACTTGCTTGATGCAGGGTTGCTACCAACTTTCAATTTGTAGAAAACACAGTATCTGTGAAGTACAATAAAGCAAAGTGCAAGTAAAATAACATATTCCTGTATAACTTCTCTGTGCCAAGAACTGTGCTAGATGATTTCAAAAGTTTGTTTTTACTGAGACAGTTTTGCTGTCATTGCCCAGGTTGGAATTCAATGGCACAATCGTGGCTCACTGAAACCTCTACTTCCCAGGTCAAAGCAATTCTCCTAACTCAGCCTCCCAAGTAGCTGGGATTACAGGCATGCACCACCACATCCAGCTAATCAGATGCCCCTGCAGCACCTAACACTGCTAACTACTCCCGATCTTCTAAGAAACACTACACTCTTCTGGTTGCTTTTCCATAAGTCGTTTTTTGTAGCATTGTAGCCTAATGCTTGGCACTCAGGAAGAACAGTCATGCATTGCTTAATCACATGATTATGTTCTGAGAAATGTGTTTTTTGGTGATTTTGTCATTGTGAGACTATCATAGAGTGTACTTCCACAAACCTAGACTGGTAGAGCCTACTATACACCTATGCTTTAGGGTATAATCTGTTGCTCCTAGGCTAAAAACCTGTACAGCATGTTACTGTATTGAATATTGTAGGCAGCTGTAACACAAAGCCAAGTATTTGAATATCTAAACACAGAAAATGTACAGTAAAAATATGGTATTATTCTTATGGAACTACTATTGTACATGTGGTCTGCTATTGACTGTAACATTGCTATGTGGTATGTGATTGTATTGACTATATTATATAAGTACCTGTTAAATATGTTTCCAATGACTATTCTTTTTTTTTTTTTTTTTTTGAGAAGGAGTTTCGCCCTTGTTACCCAGGCTGGAGTGCAATGGCGTGATCTCGGCTCACTGCAACCTCCGCCTCCTGGGTTCAGGCAATTCTCCTGCCTCAGCCTCCTGAGTAGCTGGGATTACAGGCACGCGCCACCATGCCCAGCTAATTTTTTGTGTTTTTAGTAGAGACAGGGTTTCACCATGTTGACCAGGATGGTCTCGATCTCTTGACCTCGTGATCCACCCGCCTTGGCCTCCCAAAGTGCTGGGATTACAGGCGTGAGCCACCGCGCCTGGCCTCCAATGACTATTCTTTAGTGTACTTCATGGCTCTTACTCTGCCTGTCAAAAATGTCTAGTATCCTAAATTGAAATCCAGCCGTATTCTCATCCCACATTCATTGTGGGCAATCGCAACCATTCTATGATATTAGCTTTAACCTGAAAACTCCCAAGTCTGATTCTCTCATCCTAGCCTTTCTTTGGAGCTCCAGACCCTTATAGTCCAGTGGTGCATGAGACCCTTTCACTTGTACGTCTTATAAGCATCTTGACCTCACCACCAAAATTCATCATTTTCCCCTTGTGACCAATTTTTCATCCAATATTAGCCACCTCTTATAAAATAGTGCCATATTTACCTAATCATTTAGCCCTGGCTACATTTATTTGAAATAATACTTATGTAGTACTTAGTATGTGACAGGAAGTGCTCTCAGTACCTTTTTTTTCTCACTTTCATTCAATCTAATTAGTCATCAGGTCTAGTTAAATCTGTAATGTTTAATACAGTTCCATCTGGTGCCCTCTTCATTTCTGTTGCCAGTGACTTACTTTCACCAACTTATGGTTTTGGTTCTTTCTCTAACAACTAAAAGTCTCTTGTCTCTCTTGCTTTCAGTTTTGCACCCTTCCAGTTCATTCACCACACCACTTTTAGAGTATTTCTAGAAAGCTAGTAAGACTACATTACTCCTCTGCTTAAATCCAGAAAGAGCATTTAATTGCCCAACTACTATGCATTGCCACAGTTTACTGGGTGCTCCAAATGGCTTACAGGAGTACCAGCATACTGATCTCTTCAGTTACCGGGGTGGCCAGGAAGGCTGATGTCCTTAGCCTAGTCTCTTCTGCTTACCAGTGTGCATACAGATTTTATTTACGTACGGTGACATTTATGGAAAAGCACACTGCCCTATAAAGTTTAAATTCCTCAGCATATTTCAGTTACTCTCTACTCTGTTTGCCCCACCTCTGCCACTCTTGTTGCCCAGGCTGGAATGCACCCACCTTCATTTATTTGCAGTTTCCTAAATGGTTTTCTGATCCCTTGTTTATATACTCTATCCCTCAAGGTCCATTTCCTCTTTGCTATTCAACTTCAGACAGTCCACAGAGACA